CGCTGGCCCCTCCACCAGGCCCCGGCGCCCCCGCCTGCTCAGTGCTCTAGGGGAGCGCGAGGGTGAGGTCCCCGGTCCTGTGCCCCGAGGGCTGTCTCGCTCATTCCAAGCACGTGCGTCATTTTCGCTTTGCTCAGTCCACCTGCCGTTCTCTGTCAGAGACAGAGGTTAGATGGGTTTGATGAGAGCCAGGTCTGGGAACTTACTACTCCGCTTTAGGAAAAGCTTCTACAAGCACAATAAAAATGCAAATTAAATTACAAATGAATCAAAAAGAGATTCTCATCTTTCTACAGCATGACCCCAGTTACATTTCCCACGAACGCCTCCAAAGACCTCCTCTAAAAACGTTATTAGATCCATGAATGTCCTAGACGGTTGATGGGTTTTCCCTCCAGTTCAGCTAAATAGCAGCATCTTATCGGTCAACAAAGACGTTTGTGCCTTTTGGCTACAATTAAGATGGAGGTTGGATTTGCACTTCACTTTAATTACTAATAGATTAATCCGAGTCTAAAAGACCATTCGTAATTAGCATTTTGTTGATTGATTTGTTACAAAGAAATGACCCTGATTATGTTCTTAGTAATCAGTTTATAGCTAATTGGCTTCCCATCATTAAAATATAAAGAGCCAGCCATAAGAGTGGTCAAGGTGCCATAAACGGAGCAGAAGTGCCGTCACTTGTCAGAGTGGCCCTCTTTGATTTTTATGGAAATCTAATTATTCAGTGAATTAAGGGATCTGACCTCCATGGAGCTGGTGGGCGACTTCCAGACATCGATCCCCAGGGGGAAGGCCAAGGCTGTAGGACGCAGAGAGGGCACCTCTGCAGCCGGGGAGGGGGGTTTGTTGTTGACGGAAGCGGCAGAGTCAGTAGGCAGTAATTACAGACTTGCCACCTCGCTCAAAGCCGGGAAATATTCAGAGATTGCAATTAAATCCTTGGCAGTGACAATGCCTAATTAGGTGTAATCCTCCTTAGTCCAGATAAAAACAAAATACAACAATTCCCAGAGAAGCAAAAACCAGAAGGGAAAAATCCGTTTCCAGCAAAGGTCCGCGGCTGCCAGCGCCACCCCATTCCCCTCGTCTGCCCGGCTGTGGGGTCTCCACTGCGGACAGCACCGGCTGCATCATCTCCTGCAGCCTATCCTGCACGGGAGTCACGGCAGGCCAAGGAGAAGCTGGCAGTTTCCAGGAGAAGGATCGGGAGGCCTCGCTCCTCTCCACCAGCTCCACTCACAGACACGGCGCATGAGGGACGCAGAGGTCACGACGCCGACCCAGAGTCATACCGGCTCCCACGCCCGACTGCATCAACAGAGGGACCCAGGCCCGAGGGACCTCAGCGATGTCGTCGTCCTCCCTATCGTCTGGTGAGGACTGACCCTCTCCATGTCCCAGCACCCAGGGCCACCGCAGGATAGCTCGCAGAGAGCAGGGGGCCAGCTCAGAGGGCTGCGGCCCCCACCCCTGCAGTGGGAAGACTCACAGGTGGCAGAAATGGCAGCAACATCCCTGTGTCCCTCCCACAGGGGAGTGACTGAGCGAGGAGTTACCAAATGAGTGAGAGAGCAGCCCGACATGGGGAGGGAGCAGGCCCTCCACTGCAGCTCCCACGCATTCGCCACAGAGAAAACCGGCCCTCAGTGCCCGGGCCACCTGCGCTCTGACTGGGCAGCGGGCTGTGGCCGGGCTGTGCTGTGTCCCTGGCTCGGCCCCCACGTGGTCAGACCCCGAGCGTGTCAGCTGGTGCCCCAGCATGATGACACAGCCTCGAGTACACCCCCCCCCCACCTTCCCCAACCGCCCCCAGGAGCTGGGATTCCTGGGGCTTCACAGTCGGCCCTGGTCTCTGCTGGCCCGAGCCCACGGGTGACACGAGTCCTGTGTGAGTTGACCATCCTGCCAGCCAGCTGTCCTTGCTGTGTGATGTTCTGAAGGGACCAAAGGAAAACCCCAGCCCACGGGGCAGGCTGGACCTTGGCATGGCTTCAGGCCACTCTTGTGCCCCAGTCGCAAAATTCCCAAAAGACCACCAAGGAGCCGATTACGACGCAAGCACACAAGGGTCGCTTTTATTAGGGCTCAAGCCAGGACTCCCAATTGTCACTGGCACAGCGGGTCAGAGTTGAGAGCCCCCAGTGTTAGTTGGGCTGGGTTTTTATTTGGCTGTTGCAGGGGGAGGTGGAGGGTTGTTGAGGAATGCTCTCAGGCGGCTACACATTGGCTGTAGGTTTCAAGAAGCGAGTTGTCTTTTACTGATTGGCAAGACAGTTACTTCAGGTCTCTGGTATTTCCTCTGTTTTTCTCATTGGCCAGCCCTGGTGGGTGATGGTCTATGACCTTCTCCTCCTTGATCGCTCGCCTCCTTGAAATGGCGCCGATTCTCAGTAAGGTGGGTTTAACAAAATGGAGTCACCCCGTCAAAAAATGGAGTCCCTCTGGCCCTTCATTTCCCCCTTTCCCAAGTACATAGTGGAGCCCATCATGGATCCCTGTTACTGAGCTCTACATGGTCCCAGTCAGGGATGGGCTTATCTTGGGACCACAGAACCATCAATTGAACAGTGCTGAGCTGTTCACGGATAAAGGCTGTTAATCTGTTGAGGATGCAGGGGCCGGGTGAGGAGTAGGGGCAGGACCAGTAGGCCCTGAGGGAGTGGAGACTAGGGAGTAAGCCAGGGGCCGGGTGAGGAGTAGGGGCAGGCCCTGAGAGAGTGGAGACTAGGGGAGTAAACCAGGGGCCAAGTGAGGAGTAGGGGCAGGACCAGTAGGCCCTGAGGGAGTGGAGACTAGGGGAGTGAGCCAGGATCTGGGTGAGGAGTAGGGGCAGGCCCTGAGGGAGTGGAGACTAGGGGAGTAAGCTGGGGGAGGAGCTGAACAAGGATTCGAACCAGCCCTGGGTCCCTTCAGTCTCTGCCTAAACACAGTAGAATTTTATTGGCCTTCATGGCTCAGGGCGAGGGGTCTGGCTGACGATTACATCACTAAGGAGCATTTTAGGGCAGTTAGGAGGAGTGGGGTTTAAAGACAACAGGAATGTGAATTACTCTGCTTACTCTCAGGCACAGAGGAGCAGGCAAGTTTCCAGTCCTAGGGGTCTAGTAGTTTATAATGGAGGGCTCCTCCAAGATGGAGTCGCTCCTGCTTCATTCCCCATTTCTCCTGGAGGTGCCCCTCCACGATGGCGTCGTGCCTGCTTCATTCCCCACTTCTCTTTCACAGGGACCCAATCATTGACTCCTCAGCATCAGCCAGAGAGCAGGGCGATAGTCTCTTCTGGCAGGTAAGGAGTTTTACTAGAAAGTCCAGTTTGGACTGACGTTGGCTGATTCCCTGGTCTCCAGTTGCTGGGCACAGTTGCTCACGCGCTGGAGTGTCTGGTCGGGTGGCCTGGGCCGATGTTCGTGGTAGGTAGCCACTAGGTTCAACCACTTAGAGGGAGATCGTGACACAGCGCTTTTTGAGACAATGCAAGCAGTTTACAGAAGCAGGACAGCATTTGGTTAGGTACTTAAGGAATTCACAAAATTTCTCACAAAATAGAAACCATATCATTTTTCTTTTTGAGTCTCCTCAAATACCTGTTAAGGAGAGTCACCTTGATAGTGCAAAGCCTGGTATACTGGGGCTCTAGGTCCAGAGGCAACTAGCATCCAATAGTTACTCTGTGGGAGACAAGTCGGGTAAGAAAACTGAGTAGACTGGAGCCAAAACTCAAAATTACAAGCGCGGTGAACAGAGGGAGCAAGGGCCGGGGAGCCACTGCTGCTGGAGGCCACTCTCACGTCCCCTGAGTCAGCAGCCGGCCTTTCTCCGGCCATCTGGTTGTGGAGCCCCCGAGCCATGCTCTTGACAATGTCCGACTTATAGTCAGCCCCTGCAGTGACTAGAGCAGGGCTGCCGCTCTCTGGTCCCCGAAGCACCATCACAAAGGACCTTCTTGGCCCATCCTATGGCCCAAGGCCCTGGTGAGTTCGTGGAAGCAGTCCTCTTGGCTTTGGTGTGACAGCCTCACAGGCCGACTGTACAACTGTGTGAGGCCCCGTCTGGACCAGCTGGAGGGCTCCTCGCTTCTAGTTGTTTTACTGTACATCACACTCAAAGATCGCACAACCAGCTCCAGGACACTGACTTGATCCATTCCTGTAACCCTTTCTCAGACTTTTGTAACACGACTCAAACATTCAACAACATGCTTCCCATCCTCTAGTTTCTGCCTCCTTTTTCTCCCGTTCTGATATAGCCACGCGCAGACAAAAACTCACTACACAAAATTCCTTCTATGTAAAAACTTTCCTTTTAACCTTTTTCATTAGAAATACATTTTACAGCCATAGCCCTTCTTTCCGTTTTTATCTTATTTTCTTTGTTTTTGTCTTCACACGTTTAACACTGAAAAGTGCCTTAATCTAACACACAAGTCCGATTACTAGCATTTACTCCACTTACATTTATCTAAGTTTTGTCTGATTATTGTTTCAAGTTATTTATAAAAACAAGGCTATTTATTTAAAGTGTTTTTTAAAGAAAAGCAAAGCCAGTCTAGCCTTACATTAGCTAGCTTCATTTCATCTAGAGACTGAACTATTAGACACCACAGATTTTCCCAAGGGAGCCTTGCCTGAGGGTTTAGGATTTCCCTGTGTGGAGCAACACATTTGAGACAGCACCATTGGCAAGGCTATCTAGGCTAGGCGCGAAGTATTTTTCTCTTAACCAGTTCAGCAAGCTTTGCTTTTCCCAGGTAGGTAATCTGGCGTACCTGATCAATAATGACTCGTTCAAAGGCCTCAGGGATTATTGGCCTGCATGGTAACAGCTGTCATCTTCCAGGGCCTCCAGTAACCTACTGCTTGTGGGCACAATTTCTTTTTGGTCTCCTCCTCCTCCTGAGTGTAGGAGGGCGAGGACAGAGTCTGGGGCGGCTACAAGAACTTTTAGTTGCTGACAGAGATGTCTCCCCTGCGGCTAGGTCTTATAATTCTCTCTTGTCACACGTTCAGTCGACCTGTTTGCTACTATTTATTCTTTCTTTTTTCTTTTTTTTTTATTTTTTTATGAGTGTACTTTTGGAAACAACCTTAACCTCTGATTTAGACAGAAATTAATCTTAGTCACCTGAAGCTTGTCCAGTGTTGTCAGATGTCCAAGGGGAGCCATTGGTGTCTCGGGCCCCATCAATCTTCAATTTCAAAGGCCAGCATAGACTCCAGAAGTCCAGAGCTCCCTTCAGAGCTCCGTGCATTCTGTCTGGCCTCTAGTGGCCAGCTCCACATTGGGGACAGGCCCCACTGGAGGACATGAGGATGCCAGTCATGGGCATTGTTCAGTGCCCGGGCTGTCCACACTGGAAATAGTTTCTTCTGAGGCAGAGGCTCTGGTCTGGGCCGTTTCCAGATCCTGCCCTCAGAGCAGTTCCCAGCCTTCGAGACTACCACGAGGGACTGCTAGGTGAGAGTTAAATCAAAGGTGAAGGTGCCGTGCCAAGTTTGTTATAACACTTCTCTGAGTTATTTGGGAGCTTTTCCAGTATCTGTCCTGAATTGTCCTACACTGAGAAGTGAACCTAAGTTTCCATAGATCTTGCGAGGAGCGGCTGAGTACTCTCAGGGACAAAGCCCAGATTACAGGTTTTCACAAGACAGCTCCCTTACTGCTTATACAAAAGCTCTAGCTGGAGAATGTAGTCTCAAATTTTTATTTTTCTAGCTAAACCTCTTTCTTGATCATTTACCTATAAAGGGAGAGTCCAGTGGGGAGAGGCCTGACTAAAAGAAACAGAAGGAGCCATGAAGGCCAGGGGTGGGGGAGAAGGCAGCCCAGAGCTCTGCCCTTAACTCGTCCCGCCCATTCCTTCAGACTCCTACCCTATTAAGCTGTTAGACAGGAGTTTTCTAGCTTTTGTTCCATATATAGGCCCAATTTTTAATGACTACACATATTTATCTTTTTTCTTTTACCTTGGGAGATTTGATGTTTTAAAGGAGCTATTAAACTTGTCATACATCTATATGGAGCAAATTTTTTATTTTTGGCAATCCTAAATTTTAGCATATACCAGCAGCTAACGAACATGTAGAAACCATAACAAAATTTATTTAAGAACTTTCTAATGTAATTTATGAACATGTAGAAACCGTAACAAAATTTATTTAAGAACTTTCTAATGTAAAACTGAACAATCTTACTAATAGACCCTCTCAATATTGTTTTATAAAATTCAAAGACCAATAATAAGAATAACTAAAGCATGTTAACCTAACAACAAGAATTATACGGAGGACTCGGAGGGAACCGGGCACTGCTGTTTCTGTGAGTCCGCGTTTAACACTGGGTTCACAGCCCTTCCTACCGAGGTTACCGCTCTAACGCAGGTGCATCGCGCTGGCCACCCAACATACAGCCTTGCCAAACACTCCCCCATTTTTATTTGGCCGACCTTGGCTTAGCAGTTTAGAAAACCAAGTAGTTTACATAGAAAGTGAAGATTTTACCCAAATGATTAGATTTCTCTAGAAACCTATACTTGTAAGTATACATTTTCTTTTCATCTTCTTTGTGAATTTCTTTAAGGCTAGATTTCTCTAGAAACCTGTACTTGTAAGTGTACATTTTCTTTCCATCCTCTTTGTGAATTTCTTTAAGGACAGAACATTAGGATTAGAGCCATAGTTAACGCTCTGACAAAAATTCACCACTGACACAGAAATGTGGCTATATATACCGGTTTAACCTAACAGCCTACCATTAATTTCTGGGAATCTCACCTTATTTTGGAACACAATGCATACACAGACACACAAATACATGGCTTATTTATACATAGAATTCAAATATCATACCAAGAAAATGGGAATTACCCAATTTGACAATGTTTTCTATTTTTATCTAACATATAAAGAATCATTCTGATTGGCTTAACAGCTCCCTTTTGCATGTCTCAGGAAGTTACTGTGAGGTCAAAGATCCTCTGTCAGCGCTGAAACTAAAGCCAGGAAAAGCTAGTCATAAATTTGTTTGCTCGTTAGAGATCCACTCTGCAAAGTATAACACACAACACGTAAGTGCTAGCTGTTCATTACACCAACCATATCGAGATAAACATGCTGTTGTTTGATGAATACAAACCTGCATCTATTTTAGATGCTGGAGATTCCGAAGACCTTCACTCAGTAATCGTTTCCTTTCATTACGCTTGAAGCCAGCTCATTCACTGACGTTATATGGACTTGAGAAACACTTAAACCAGTTTCTATGAACGCTCTTTCTATAAACCAAATAAAATACTCTAAGGCCTATTTTCACATAGACATACAACATGTAGCATGTAACTTGACATATTACATGCATAGACACACACACACAGCAGGATTATAAGAACCGATTTCCCTGGGGTTACTTTGACTCTTTTGAGTAACCTTCTTTTTTGAAATTTTTAATTATGGTAGAAATTTAACTTTTTGTTGTCTACACCTTTGGAGTTTTTATAACATAAATATTCTAGATATTCTTACCCCTTTTAAGTGTGATGTTTGTGAAAGTCCCTCTACTTTTTGGATGGAGAGTTTGATGCCGTAGCCATAACTTAACCTCCCTCTGTTGGGGTGCTTCCCTTAAGGGCAACGTGGCCTCTGAGGAATCGGGTTTCCACCCTCCCTCATTGCCCTGGTTCTACTCTGGGCGTAGGGCAGTGGGAGGAGGGCAGAGGAGGCTGCCTCCTGGGATCTCTCATCACCCTCTCTGGGCTGACGCTGATAGGGTTATAAGGGGGGGAGATCTGACTCCTCAGGATTAGACTGCAGGATAGGGGGCTTTTGTTCTCTTTGCTGGGGCTCTTTCTGTGGGCCAACTACAAGAATACATTCCCCCTCCCTTTTTTTTTACAAAGCCTCATCAAAGTGATGTAGCATGCAGCTAAGGGGAGTCTTAAAAGAGCTGTTTTTGTCTCTCTCAATTTTTAGAGTTAAGACAAGAAAAGAACCAAACATTTTAACCTCTTCAGAGTAAAATTCTTGAAGAACCCCTTGATATGTGTGGTCAATAATCCATTGTTCTATATCCTCCACTGAAGGGGATGAAGAATAGAACCAAGAAATATTTCCCAAGAGGGTTTGAAGAAAATAAGCAAACCGACAGTTGAAGCAGTAGAAACCCATAGAAAGATCTACATTACCAGGGGTTTTAAACCCTGTTAGGGCTTCTGGTCCTGCACTTTCTCGAACCGTCTAAGGGCGAAACGTCCAGCCCCCAGATCCCAAGCATGTCTGGTGGAACCTAAGTAGGAGTTCTCTAACCAAGTCCAGTAAGCCTTGAGTCCCTGCCACCTGGAGAAGAGCTTACGGCCCTTGACCCAGGTCAGACTCCAGGGGGCTCTCAGGGAAATATACCCGGCCTGGGATTCCCTCCCTGTTGTGACCAACCCCTTACTCACTGGTTTGTCTTCATTGAAGCAGCTAGAACAGGGCAGGAATACCCAAAGAAATGCCTCTGGAGGCCTTACAGCAAAACGCCACAGGCTTTTGGAGGAGCAGTCAGCGTCTCCTGTCAGCTGCCAACAATCCCGAGAGGAGCTCCAGGGTCCTGGGAAATCCCAGGTGGCGTCTCCCCTAGAGCAGTCCCGGGTAGCCGGCAGCCGGGCTAAGTGAGGCCACTCTCCCTAGGATGCCTCACCCACTTACTAGACAGGTACGCTATCTCACTGGGGCCTCCAACTGTTACAATCTACTCAGCGAGAAATAAGAGGACGCCCAGACACAGCCAAATTCATTGGCATTTATTAATTAGGCCGGCGGCGTACAGGAGGACTCGAGTCTCTCAAAACCCCGCAGCTCCAAGCAAAAGGGGAACGGAACTTATTTAGGCCAGAAATGCCCACTCATGTTTGGGGTGACCTGATGATTTACAAGGACAAAGGAACAAAGTGAAAGGGCTTCAGGAGAGATAGGGGGTAGGGTTTCTCTATCTTCAAAGCAAAAGGCCGGTTACAGAAGCAAAGCAAGCAGGCTAATCATTCTTCAGGGTACGGTCCATCACAAGCGTCAGAGGGGAAGTCTGAGTCTGTGGCCGCCTAGCCACAGCGCCTAGCCACGGCGATGCACAGACAGATACCCAAAGGCAGGGCTGGAGAGCTGACACCGTGCAGACCCTAATGAAATAGCACAGCAAGGGGCAGAGCTGGCAGGCAATCTGACAAGCCGGATGACATGGGCAACAAAAACATGCAGCCATCGAAGCTGACGTAGAAGAAACAGAAGCTGAGCACTTAAATCCAGCAAGCAAGTTTAATTTGCGATGAAAGTCCTCTCCACGAAAGCACTCCCGGCACCAGCAGCCGCACAAGCAAAGCCATCCCATCAGGTAAGTGGCACTAACACCGCACAGCCGTTCCAGAAGCAGGCTCCCGGAGCAGGGGCCCCGCCAAACGCTCTTTCTCGTGAACATGTAAGGTAAAACAAAATATTAGTAAATTGAATTTAGCAATTTGTAAAAGGTCAGTTACATCATCACCGAGTGGATTTAATCCCATCCAGCAATGCAATGTGATTTAACATGAAAAGGATTAATTAACACACTCCCCCATTGATAGCAAAGGAGAGAGCATACACTCCTTTCAACAGAAGGGCCAAAGCCACTTGCCAGCTTCACGCCTATTCACGTGAAGCTCGGTGACTGGCAATCGAAGGGGGCTGCTTAGACAGGTGCGTGATTGCGGCGGCTCGGTGTGGGTGCACGCAGAGGGCAGACGGGAAAATGAAGAAGCCCCAACCCACTCACACCGGCGGTCACGAGAGGAGGCGTGGCTGTGCCCGGAGGGCTGGCTGGCCCGT